GCGCTAATGAGCTGAGAAGGACACAAAGACAAATCCGACGATGCGAGTTCGGGACTCATCTGTCCTTCTGAAGGGAACGGGTTTTCTTTCCGGATCCTCGTCGACGGAGACAGACACCCTGAGGCGGCTGATGTGGAGCTGCTGTGCGGTACTTTCCATCTCGGGGTGGTGGAGCTGGAAGTGTCCTGTATGACGGGAGCGATTCTGTAGGAGCTGCTGGTTATCCAGTTCTCCATTTCTTGTCTCCAAGTGTAACTAGATAATGATCTGATTTCAGTGCGGGTCTAAATAGAACACTCCAAACACCCCTCGAAAAGTCTGTGTGTTTCTGCTCTCTAAAGAATAATCGGAGACAAACCTTTTGACTTATGTTCACCACTGGGCTGTACTTGCTTTTCTAAGAGATCACTCTGTGAGCTCTGATGGATGCTCTGAACTTGGGATGTCCAAACACGTGGTTATTAATTTTCAAGACTTTAACCAGGGTTTCATCCATTCCTGCCTGATGAAGGAGGCTCAAAGTAACGCTCAGGCACTTGATGGGCTTTCAGGATGTTAAGATGAGTAGTTTATACTGATTTTTTTCTATAGATCCTCACTGTGGATCACCACTCCTCACCTCTCGCTGCTTAGTCAGAAGCACTGGGAATGCTCTGGGGCTGACCAAAGTTGAAAGAGCTAAACCAAGCCTTCCACCGACTCGTGTGCTTTTTGCAGGATCATTTCAGCTTTTTCTCATGACCTTTGTGGGTTCCCCTTAGAGGTGCAGGTGGTATAAAAGACATTTAGTCGTGTATCTAGGGTACTAATGCAACGCTACAATGCCTGAGGATTCGGCAATGTCACCCTCTACCCCAGTGCTGCTCAGGTAGTAGCTGGATTTCATCAGTGTGAGAATCCCGCATGAACTGTATCCGAATAAGCAAGAAACAACTGTTCCTGTCGGTACAGGAGTCTTGGAGTCTTTGACTCTGTCTTTGCATTTAGAAACAATTTTATTTCTAGCTAAGCTCAGATATCCAGCGTGGTGGGATCATTTGGCGAAGCTGCTGCTTGGTGGATATGAAAATGATATAGACAGATGTTCAGACCAAAATAAAATGGACACCATGTCCTATTTCCTCGACGTCAGTGCCTGCGACCTCATTAACAGCTGTTTTACTGATTTAAAGCATCCTACTACATTTTACATACAGCAATCTTAACTTAGTACAGTTCTTAAGATACTTGGAGATCGAATTTGCTGACATTGGCATTACATTTTCATCTCCATGAACACGACATGAAATATTTCTGCAGAGAAGACCTACTTTTACCAGGTAAGTGAATAAATTTAGCAAACAGGTAAGCTGGGAAAAAAACCCCAATCTACCAAAGGAAATTCACCACAAAAATCAAAACAAAACCAACCAAACAAACAAAAAACTCAAAGCCAACTCAAAACATAACCCAACTAAAAACCCAAACAAATGAAAAAATCCAAAGCCAAAAGCCAAAATCTGTCCTGCTTAAACACCTCTCATCCAGGAGCCACATGGAGCAAACATGATTGTTTTATTGATAGAAGATAATCCCCAGCATCTCTTCCTATCCATGAGTCAAGGCAGTGATCTCTACCCAAACCGTTACTTCCTTTTGCTACAGAAATTAAAACAAACTGCCAGAAAACTGGAAACTCAAGAGTTCGTGAACATGTCTCCAGATCAGCCTGACAAAAATTATGCTGTGCAGGATTTTCTCGCCAGTCCTCTGTTATCAAAAACATAAATCCTGTCGCTTGAATCTGGAAAAAGTTAACAAATACTGTTCTACTTGATAGAATGGATTTGCCTGTGCCTGTTTACTCGTTGTCTGTCGTAAGGAGAATGGGAATTGGCAAACCCAATCCAAGGAGGAGAAGGAGAAAACCCGTGTGGATGTTAGGAATGAGAAAAGGGTGTGCTAATGGGTTTAATAAACCGAATCCTCGGCAGCAGCAGTGCCTACCAGAGGCTCCTTTTGCTGTTTGCCGTAGCTGCTCCACTCGAGAGAAGTGCTGGAGAGGAGGATCACTCTTTATCGTCAAAGCCTAGTTCCACCAGGATTTGGGATAAGAAACATAAAGTGCCTGAATGTCTTCCTCGGGGGGAAAACCCTCGTGCTGGTTGTGATACAAAAATGCAGGTAAGTTACAAAGACACAGTAGGAAGAATTCATCTTTGCATTGATGGCATAGGCCAGAGAAAAACGGCATCAGGGATGGATCTGGAATCAAGACATCATTTATATCCACGGAAAGCCTGACTGCCTTCAGCAGCAGGTTTCCATATGAACCGACAGCACTGCAGAGATTAATAAAGCAGGAACACAATCAGGTTAGTAGCACAATCGTATTTAGTGATGTTTTGAACCGTGGTTTGTGTACAGAAGCTAGAGATGTAACAGCAGAAGTTATTCTTGTCTCGGGTGCTCCTGAGGGAGCTGCTGTGGCCGCAGGGCTGCTGCCTCTGGGGCCCAAGGGCAGGTGGTAAATGTGAACCAGGGCAGGCGAGAGCTGTGTGGGCATGTGGAGGATTTTGCCCTGAAGCTCAAATAATGGTAGAAAATCTTCCCACAGCCACAAAATCGGCTTTGTCGGGATGGAGAAAGGCAGACTGTATTATTTATTTATTTGTTTGTTTGCTTATTTATTTGTTTCCCATTAACGAGGAATGTTGTGGTGGGGCAGTGACTGTGTACTGTGGCAGAGATCCTTCCCTCAGAGTGGCACGGAGTAGGGATTGGGGATTTGTCATAGGAAGTCTGAGTAGGGAAGAGTCTTCCCTGAAGAAAGGAGATGTTGTGTTTATAGCACTGGGCTGTGTCATTGGTGACAAACTGCAGAATGTCTGCCTAGCTGGAGATCTCTGCCCCGCCACAGAGAGGTTCTTGCTGCATCCTGGCAGAGCTTGTGTTCCGGAAAGGAGAAGCAGGAGCCTGTCGTTCATCATGCAGGTGGAAAAGGAAGCTGCAAGAGCAGCTCTTCATCGAGCTGTAGGAATAGTGTACAGGAGTGTGGTGGTCCCGTGCTTTTTCAGCGTTCTTGCAGGATTGGTGTGCTGGGCTGTGATGAGTTTGAATCTCTGAAGGAAAGATTCAAACAATCCCCTGGGTTGTTTGGTGTAATCAAAGCCTTTTGGGCAGATGTGGAAATATCTGGGGCTTGGGCTACTCTGTCAGAGTGAGGTGGATTCTCTTCATGAATGCTGAAGGTATGAACGAGGTAACATATTCAGGAGTGTGTCCGTCTTCCAGAAGGGGAGGGAAACAATAGAGAAGGGACAATCTGTAGTGCATAAATTGCAGAAAAGCAGGAAGTTTGTTCCTCATCTGGAGAGATGAAAGTCGGCAGGAAAGAAGAAGGGGAACTCTTGCCAAAACACGTCGGCACTCCATGTCGAGAGTGATGTAATCATATGAAAAATTAGTTGGTTAAAGAGACAAAGAAGAGGCAAAAAGAGAAGAAGAGAAGGAATTGGGGAAACAGAAGACTGTTGAGAGAGAAGGAAAAGAAGGAAGAAACAATGCAGAAATAAAAGAGAAGCGAAAAAGAATGAAGAAATAAATGGAATGAGAGAGAGAATGGAAGAAACCATAAATTATTTTAGTTACACGTCATTTACGTCATTTGACGTCATATGTGACGAGTCACCACTGCACACAGAAAGAAAGGAAGATGATAAAGGAAGAAAGAAAGAAAGAAAGGAGGCAAAAAAAAAATTACAAAGGAAAGAAAATAGGATGAAGCCATAAATTACATTACAAGAGTGCACCAAATATATAGCAGAAGATCGGAGGAATAAAGGAGGAAGATAAGAAAGAATATATACCCGTAAATTAGCAAAGAAGAAAGAAGGAAGAGAGGCAGACGAGATGACCAACACGCACCGACATTAGCTCTACATGCGGAACGGAGTCCTCCTTGCTGAGCGCACGATCTGGCGCTTGATGTCCGTAATTAGTGCTGATCGCTCCTGTTTGATGCTCTCCACCGCGGCGCCGGAGACAACGAACTATCTGCCAGCAGGGGTAAGGAAGAAAGAAAGATCGAAACATAAAAGAAAGGGGAGTACATGATAGGGCATGATAAGGCAATGACGAAAATGAGGACAAAGAGAAGAAAGAATTAATAGAAGTAAAACATAAAAGAAAAAAAATAGAAAAGACAACTGAGAAACTAGAGAAGGCTAAGGAAGGAAGAGAAAGCAAGAAAGCAAAATGAAGAAGAGGGAAAGACAAAAGAGAAAGAGAGAAGGAAATTGGACCACGGTAGGAAG